CATGTGTTAAGAAAAAAACTCTAGAAGGGGTGTGAAAATATAAGTTTGTTTTTTTTTTCCTTTAATTTTGTTTTTTTTTACGCGCGCGTTTCCTGACGCGCAGTCGGATATAGTTCTCGTAGAAGGAGAGAAAAGTAGAATTTAGTTTAGTTTTGAAAGTTTCATTAGAAAGAGTAAACCGACATCGGTCGGTGGAGAAAGGACCTGTAAAGGTAACTAGGAAAAAGAGAAAAGCCCTTAGATTGGTTAGCCTCTGTGTTGGTTAAACTAACACATACATACACGCAAACAGGCACACAATACACAAACACACACTAAACGATTCGCAAACAGCTGAAAAACAACCACAGAACAATAGAGTCAACGTTTCACCTAGGAACTTTTTGAACAGCTTCAGAACAATACAAAACCATGTACAAATTGACGGACGGAACGAGACAAATCGTTTGTAACAACATCCGTGATCTAGGGATTTTTCCTTAGATTAATCAAAAAAGAACTTACCTGCTAGGGGAAAAGCGGAGTTTGCAGGCGGTTTTGTTAGATGGGACGCTTTTTTTCGCGCATGCGCGACGCATCTATTTATAATTCCAACGGCCACCGGCTGCCGCCAGTGATGTATGTTATATATGTAGTATGTAGTGTTAGGTGCTGGCAAAAAATGTGACGGGCTACATCAAATAAAGTTATATTTGATGAGTATATTTGAAAATTTTTAGAATATTTTTACATTTTTTGCTTATTTAAAAATTATTGAAATAGTTTTGTAATTATTAAACAGTGATAAAAAGTAAAACACAGCACTACAAAATAATACAATAACAAAAAGTAAAGCATATGTAAAATACTTTTGTAAATCATATATATTTACAACTTTAAGTATTTTTTCACCATAATAAAATATTATACTACGTGATAATAATATATAAAAAGTAAGCTAGAGGAGGAAAGGATATTTAAATAATTTTCAATTACATATTAATATTAAAAATAAAATACTTTATTTGGCAGAATCTCAAAGAATATCAACATTTGTTACAAGGGCAAGGAAAAGTGCCATAACCTTACCAGTATTTATAAAATAAAAGTATTTTACATGATCACAGTAGTATAATCACAATAAAATCGCAGAAATTCTAATAATTCTTAAAAAACACATTTTTTTATATCTTTTCAAATGTAACAAAAAATCAAGAGGCACGGTAGAGCCTCGCGCCAAGTTCACGCGCAACGAAGTGGCGTTCGAACTGCGCGAGCACACTGTGCCTCTTATACGCAAAATTCATGCAATTGAGAAGTGGGGATATTTTCTCGGGGCAATATTTCAAGAACGACTATACCAATCACTTTTTTTTTAGTTTCAATCGATTCAGAATAAAACAGTTTTAAAAAAAGTATTATTGCGTTTATGGTTTATGACTTCTAAACCAAGATAATGGAAGAGAAACAAAATGTGTATATAAAATTACGTTAAGAAACGTCATTATCTCCGCTAGACACTGGAGCGTGCAGTTTCATCATGTTTCCCTACAGATGGCATTACTAGCGTGGAAGGAAAGAAAAGAGAAAAGCAGTGAACAAGAATGAGATTCATATCACTTCAAAAAATAAGTATTTTACTTATTATGATTATATATAAATAATCTTACTTATTATGATTATATATAAATAATAAATATTGACCGTATGTCAATTTTTTTAACNTCCAAGAAACAGCATTCCAATAATAATAAAGCAGACCGATGTTAAGTGACGATGATGAAGAGAAAGATCTAAGGCAGTATATATTAAACCCATGTTAATTCGGTGTTTGGAAAGTTCTCGAAAACGCGGTTTTACAATAAAGCTTATGAATGACGAATATACGCATTTGACTTATTTTAATATTCTACATTTAACGATATATAGTCCCTTTCGCAAATCGCGGATATCTCGAGAACCAGAAAAGATAGCTTGAAACTAATTTTGCAGGTACCTTCAATCGACTACTCTGCGATTTATGATAAAGAGTGAAAGTTAACAAATTGAATATTTCGAGAACGGTACAAGGTAGAGCAAAATAGATTTCGGATCTCGTTTTGTATTAGTTAGATGCAAAATACCACGTAATAAAAGTTTACTAATTTTTATTATTTAAACATTCGATCGTTGAAAACAAAACCTAGAATGTTCAAACCGGGCTGGTATTTTGCAGTTTGGTGTGCTGAGAATTATAGCATAAACCGTTTTTCTTCATCTCCTTTAGATTGTTAGTTATTAATTTTGCAACTAACTGTGATGCTATGTGGTTGCGACTTAAGGGTGATAACTTGTCGACGTTGGCGTAAGGGTTACGATGGTAACTCATAAGTAATGGTAACTCGCTCGGAACAGTGGTTTTTTGATGATGTTAGTTACAACAAAATGGTGATACTGGTAACTTTACTCCCGAACTTCGACTCCCGAAGCACCGATTCTAACGTAGATGATTTACCGATGGTGGAAGATCTGAATAGTTTTAGGTACGTTCTAGAGGAAAAAACGGCAGGGCCGAGTAATAAAAATGTATATGTACCTAATAAAGAAACTTAAGGATCGGAAGAAATAACTAAGAAATGATAAAGGTCATAAGAGCCGCTTTGCAGGATGTTATGCCGAAAAATTCTATTATATATATGTATGCATATATATATACATGTTCACATAAATTATGCTGCAATGTGCTGATTAAACCTGCATGCATACTGCTATCATTTGGCTATCGGGGCATATATATAATAGAATATTTCGGCATTACATCCTGCAAAACGGCTTTTATGACCTTATTCATTTCTTAGATATATATAACTATATATAAATAATACTAGTTAGATATAAATTCAGTTTAAATATAAAATTCAGTTTAAATATAAAGTCAATATTGTATTTATAAAAAAAATGCTGCAAATATTTATCTTAGAAAAAATTAATAAATGTGTTACTATTTTGAAAAAAAACGGAATAAAAAAACAATGGAAAAGATAAAGAATTTGAAGAGAAAAAATAGTGCATCATCTATCTCACACGCACGTACATATAACCAAACTTATGTATATTAAAGTTTTCAGTTTACTATAATATAATAATGTATATACAAAAACTACAAATGTTTATATTTTTTTTTAGAGAAACTAAAAAAAACTTAAAATATAAAGTGTGTGATACTCTAAGAAACAAAATATAAAATGTGTGATACTCTAAAAACTTACCTTTTTAAAAAAAGGTAAAAACAGACGCTAAGTACACGCACAACACGTATTGTATTTAAATTAAATTATATTTTTATTTATACTCCAAAAACTTCTTTCTTTATAAAACCTGTTTTACAACATTTATATACTACAAAACATTCTTTCTCTAAAATCCAGTTTTACAAAAAAAGTGATATCACAAAGTAGCACCAAGTAAATTTTGTACGTTACTTTTGTACATTATTATCCTAATCTAAGTACATAACTATTTTGTTAAGTTTTTGTTACGCAAACAATTTTGAAAGAAAGAATTGTCTGGGCCTATTAAATTAACAAAAAGATTTGTATTGAAACTAACAAGTAGACCCAGCAAAACTTTACTTTCCGTGATAAATAAAAAAAAAAGAAACAAAAATTTTGTCAAAATAAAAAATATTTAATGCAAAACAACTTGGCGCAGCTGCACCTCAAATATAATGAACTGAAATTCTTATATGCACGGCTGTCTGATACTTACATGTGCACATGTAAAATATGTCTGTCTGTAGATAAATTTTTGGTGCAGCCGCGCCAAGTTGTTTTGCATTAAATATTTTTTATTTTGACACAATTTTTTTTCTTTTGTAACTCACCTTTTTAACCTTTAGAGCGCCGGAAAACGCCTAGAAGCGTAAAAAAATGAAATTTTTTTATACTAATTTTTTTTAAATCTAAATTGCTTGTAAATTTATGTGTAAAGGTTATTGATCTCTCCTAATATGATTCTGCATCCAAACAAATTATATTCAAAATGGCGGATGCAATATGGTTAAGTTTTCGAGTTATTTCCAGTTTCGATGTGAATTCCATTTGAAAATTATGTATAGGAGTTTTAGAAGTCACTAGTCAGAGATAAAAATTATGAATATACATATCTGTAAAAACTATATATTTTAGTTCAAATATTTTCATAGCTTTTGTACTTTTTTGGGTGCAAAGAAAATATCCAAAATGACACAAAAAATACTAAATGTTTGAGGGTAAAAATTAGTGAACATGCTCACTCTTGGCTTTACCCAGAATCAACGACGTGGCGAGCTCCTGATTCCGTGTGTGTGTGTGTGTGTGTGTGTGTGTGTGTGTGTGTGTGTGTGTGTGCATGAGTAAGTAAGTTCTTATATTTATTTTATTTTTTCACATTTTTTTACTTTTTAGAAAATCATTTATATTTTACAAATAGTAACTAATCAATTCTTTATGGTAAATCTTTTTTAGTGTGATAAGTATAAAAGCAAGGGGTGATACACAATGGAATGGAGCATTTACTGCATTGAAATTTTGATTCTGCTCTTTTTTTTGTCATGAGGCATAACACGCACCTTTTCTTCTTTTCTGAGAAAACAGGTAAATGTTTTTCCACGAGACGTGCAGGGGTGGTTTTATTGCTTTCATTGGGCTCATCTTTTAATTGGAGTATATCTGCAACAATTTTTATTCTAAATTCAAGAAAAGATAATCTAGTATTATTCATGTTATACATTGTATGTGCAGTTACAAGGACCATATTGACTAAGTGAAAAAATAGTTTTTTGTACCACTTCATTGACTTTCTTACGGTCTCAGTCAACAATAGTTGTTTGTCAATCATATCTATTTCTTCCATATTTTTATTATAATCAATAATGCACGATGGTTTCATTTTCTTTTCTCCAGTTTTCTAGTCTCTTTTCCCTGTTTCTGAATATTCAAATTCATGTACTGAAGCTATCATGTACACTTCTTTTTTATCTTGCCATTTTATAGCCATCCAGATCATGTTATGTGCAAGTTGAACTTCTCCCTTTTCAAGTTTCGAATCCAAGCATGGTAATCCCTTTTTCTGTTTTTCTTTATCGTACCGCATAAACCTGTGTCTTTATCGTGCAAAAATTCAGCCAATTTCGGAGAGGAATACCAATTGTCAATGTAAAGAATGTGACCTTTGTTGAAATAAAGTCTCATCATATGAGCAACAACATCACCTGAAACACCTAAATCGAACTTCTCAAAATCAGTATTCACCCCTGTGTAAATGATGAAGTCCAAGATTATTCCGGTCTCACAATCAACAAGTTTGAATAATTTTATACCAAATCGGTGGCGTTTCAAAGGTAGATATTGTTTGAAAGATAGTCGACCTTTCCACAAAACAAGACTTTCATCAATGCATAATTTTTCTGCTAGATCTATTATGGTCGCAAACTTTGCTTTCAAATTATCTATAACCGATTTCAATTTCTTCAATGGATGATCAGATGTAACATTATTATCTGTAAAATGTAAAAAGCGTAAAATTTGACGATAACAATTGCGAGTCATTGATTTTGGAAATATGGGAGTTGATAACATTGGAGAAGTATTCCAATAATCTTCGAGCTTTCTTTTTCTGACATGTCCCATAAGAATAGAGCTAAAAATTTCATAAGTTCTTCTTTTTCTAAATCTATCCATTTAATCATGTTTACCCGTTCTTGTTCAAGGTTTTGATTTTAAAATCAATTTGTTTCTTTGCATATAAGTTTTAGAAGAACTTCATCAAAAAAAATTTCAAAATAATGAATGGGGTAATTCTCATTCAATTCGATATTTTCTCTAATACCAGATCGTGATGTAAATTGTTTGATAAAAGGAAAAAAAAATTTTCGTCAATTATTTCTTGGCCTGGAATGTACTCTAATTCATCGGTATCGTTTTCAATAATTTTGTCATCAGAATCAGATTCAATTTCTGGTTCTGACTCTCCACTGCTAATTGGCATGTTTGGAGAAATAATCAATGCATGATCTTGACAAATAAGAGTGTTATGATATAAAAGTATTGTTACAGTACCAATAAATATTGTAATAATTGATCGTGTCCGAACAGTATCACAATAACACAGGTTTTAGGTTCAACTTGTTACTGCAGCAAATCTAATTATATAAATCAATGATCTACTTTAGATGTGGATATGGATTTCGGGGTTTTCGCCACCTAGCGGTGATTTTTGCTACTATTAGATAAATATTGTAAAATACGTTAATAAATGCTCAGCCAAACAGAAAAAATTATTTAGAAAAAAGAAAAAAAGAAACTCAAATATCGGTTGATGGCGCCCTCTATAATGTTTTCCAATCGATAATGATACAAACTGACTTTATTTGATCAGATAAAACATAAATAATGCTAAAAACAAAAAAAATAGTGCAATTGAATGTTTTTTTAAAATTTTGAAAATTTTAACATTCGGCATTACCGTACCTAGCCGGGATACGCCTCTAGGCGTAAGGGATCTGACTCGCCAACATCTTAACTTAGTTCGGCCCTAATATAAAGTAAATTTTGTACGTTACTTTTGTACATTATTATCCTAATCTAAGTATACATAACTATTTTGTTAAGTTTTTCTTGCGGAAAAAATTTTGAAAGAAAGAATTGTCTGGGCCTATTAAATTAACAAAAGGATTTGTAGTGAAACTAACAAGTAGACCCAGCAAAACTTTACTTTCC